TTCTCAAGTGCCAGCCGCTTTTTTTGTGTGGGGTTTTGCTGTTGTTTTTACATTCCTTTATTTGGGAAGGGGTGGACTTATGCCATTAAGCATTGATAGAGGTCGTAGGACAACTTGCAAAGGGCCAGTTCTCTCCTTTCACCATGTGGATTCTGGTATCAAAGAGGTCATCATGCCTGGCTGCAAGTGCCTTTACCCACTGAGTCATTACACCAGCCCCACCTTGTTTTTTGAGACAGTCTCTCACTGGTCTGGAATTGGCCAGCTAGGCTAGGCTTACCCCAAAGATCCGCCTGTCTCTGCCTTCTTGGCATTGGGATCACAAGTATGGCCCACAGCAATGAGTCTTTATCTGCTCCACCAGCTCCCAGATAATGACTCGAAGACATACCATTAGTTATGGAAGATCAGCCTATAGCTTAGGCTTGTTCTTAACTAACTCTTATAAAAAAATCAACCCATTTATATTCATCTGTGTTCTGCCACATGACTCAAGGCTGTTACCTCTCCTCCTGCACATCCTGCTTGCTCTGTATCTCCTGGCATCTCTGCCTTTCTTCTTCTTAGAGTTCTCTCTCTGTCCATTAGTCCCACCTATACCTCCTGCCTAGTTATTGGCCATTTAGCTTTTTATTAAATCAAACATAGTGACACATCTTCACACAGTGTAAAGTAATATTCCACAACATCCCACTGTGCCTTTTAAAACAATGTGGGTTTGGGTCTGGTAAGATGGCCCTTGGGTTAAGAAGACTGGCTGCTCTTCCAGAGGACCTGGGTTCAATTCTCAGCAACCACATGGCAGCTCAATATTGTCTGGGTAACTCCAATTCCAAGGTATCTGGCACCCTTAAAAAGACATGCATGTAGAGGCAAAAAACTGTCGTGGTTTGACAAAAAACAAAACAAAACAAACACCCCCCCTTTTTTTTTAAAGTGGGTTCTAGGATTTAAACCCAGGTCCTTGTTTGCTTGCGTAGTAAGCACTTCAATGACTGAGCTATTGCTCTACCACCTAGGGTTCACTTTTATTTATATCTCAGTCATCTCAAGTAAGAAAGAGGTATCTCTTCTGACTTTATGCCTAAATTCTTAATCTCCTGAAGTCTTTTTTAAACAAATTTCTGGGGCTAGAGAGAAGGCTCAGAGGATAAGAGCACTTAACACTCTTGCAAAAGATTCAGGTTCAGTTCCTAGTACAGAACATTGTAGCTCACAACTGCCTATAACTCTGGTCTCAGAAGATCTGACAATGTTCTCCAATCTCTATGTGTACTTGGTGTACACATTAAAAGAAAAAAGATCAATAAATCTTTTTAAAAAGAAAGAAAGAAGAAAAGAAAGAAAGAAAGAAAGAAAGAAAGAAAGAAAGAAAGAAAGAAAGAAAGAAAGAGCTGGGAGGTGGTTGCACACACCTTCAATCCCAGGACTTGGGAGGCAGAGGCCGGTTGATCTCTGTAAGTTTAATGCCAACTTGGTCTACAGAGTGAGTAACAGGACAGCTAAGGCTACACACAGAGAAATCCTGTCGTGAAAAGACAAAAGGAAGAAGGAGGAAGTGAAGAAGGAAGGAGGGAAGGAAGGAAGGAAGGAAGGAAGGAAGGAAGGAAGGAAGGAAGGAAGGAAGGAAGGAAGCGGGGCGGTTAAGAGCACTGGGCTGGTCTTCCAGAGGACCTGGGTTCAATCCCCAGTACCATATGGCAGGTTATAACAGTCCTGTAACTCCAGTTCCAAAGGATCCGACATCCTCACACCCCTCACACAGACATACATGCAGGCTGTAGTAATGGGCTGCGGGCAGGCCTGCTTTTCATCCTGCCCGGCTCCCGCACAGCTAGCTTAGCCCCAGAAATAATAACACACAAATTGTATTCATTTAAGCACTGCCTGGCCCATTATCTCTAGAGAGTTAGTTACTGACTAACTCTCATATCTTGATATTAACCCATTTTTAATAATCTGTAGCACCACGAGGTAGTGGCTTACCAGAAAAGATTCAGTATGTCTGACCTGGTGGCTGGCTCCATGGCGTCTGGCTCATAGCCCTCTTCCCAGCATTTTGTTCTGTTTACTCCGCCTACCTAATTTTCTGTCCTATCAAGGGGCCAAGGCAGTCTCTTTATTGACCAATGAAAATAACACAATAGACAGATAACCCTCCTCCATCATTTCCCCTTTTTCTGTTTAAACAAAAAAGAAAGGCTTTCATTTTAACATAGTAAAATTACACATAACAAAACAGTTACCAAGCAAGAATTACAGTCACAATATTTATAACTATATCTTTATCATAATAATGGAAAACTATAACTACGACTATCCATTCTTTAACTCCATCAAAGACTCCAGAAGGATATATTACCTAAGTAAACAAGAAGTAAGCAACTTCCAAAACTCTAGAAATGACAGAGACATCTCGCTGCCTAGACAGTCACCCAAAGTTCCTCTGTATCGTTGGGGCACCCATCTTCAGCCTTCAGGCCCATAATATCCAGAGACATTTCCATGAAGCAGGAAATTTCAAAGGCAATTTAGTCACTATCTGCTGTGTCCTGCAGAATGTCTCGCAGACTCTTTCATGAATCAGGAACCCCGAAAGATCATCTCACCTTTAGGCAAGTTTAGCAGTCCTCTCTCTGCGGGTTCTCTGTGTCCAGTTTATATAACAGTCCAGGCAAGAGCAGTTTCTTGCCCAAATGGCTAACCAACTCCATAAGGAGCCTCTTCGATGCCCATCTTCCTCTTGAAGTAGATTGATGCTGCCAGGAGCAGACGTGTCTCATTGTCATGAAAAGTCCTAAGTTATTAAAACATTAAATGCCATGTTCTGTAGTCTTTGAAAGATATGAATGTCTATCTGAAATATATCTATGCACTTCTAGAAAATCAGACTAACATTACTACAAGCTAGTATTATCCATTAACAATCTATATTTTTAATTATACATTGCATTTTTAAATAAACTACACAATCACAATACCTCAATCAAGATCAGAAACATATATACATATAACAAAATTGACCTTAAAATCCATACCAATGAAATTATTCATATCTATATCATATCCCCCTTTAAATGTAAAAGAACATTTATAAACAATATTTGGGAATATGGACGTAGTTATTTTTCTCCAAACTTCTTCCTGCTGTATAGGGGCGCTGTTAATCAGGTCTTTCATGGTAAAACCTGTCTGCCAGGTTCATCTCAGTTGGCAGTTGAGTGAAGTAATTTTTTGAGGGTGTTCACAGCAACCTTTTAGGAGGACGTGGTCTATCATACCATATTGGGATAGAAGCAATCCACAGGGTCTCATCCTCTGTGTAAACAAAAGAAGAACCTCCTTTCCAAAGTATCATATCCTTAGATCCAAATTTAGAAGTCAAGGTATTTTTAACATATCTATCTTGGATTAGTTCAGCAGCATTTATAAACAAAAGTCTTGTAGCAGCTGTTGTTCCTTCCTCAGCATTTAAACAATTTAAAGAGAGCATAATAACATACAGTATCAAGATTCTCTGTTTATTTTCCATCTTTATGTGGCTTTATTTTAACCATTATTTCTTATATTTTTACTTTTACTTTTTGAGATAGGTTTTCTGTATATTTTTGTCCTGGAATAACTCTGTAGATCAGGCTGTCCTTGAACTCACAGAGATCTGTCTGTCTCTGCCTCCCCAGTGCTGGGATTAAAGGCGTGTGCTATCACACCTTGAACTCAGAGATCCTTCTGTCTCTGCCTCCCAGGCATTGGGATTAAAGGTGTGTGCTACCACACCTTGAAGTCACCGAGGTCAATCTACCTCTACCGCCCAAGTGTTGGGATTAAAGGTGTGTACCACCACACCCAACTACTTTCTTTTTTCCTTTTTTACCCTAAGAATTTTAACCTTTAGCATGCATATTTTTAACACATAGTAAAGCATTTAGAGGTTTCCTTTGTCTTTGAATCTCTCTTTACTGTATGTCTTTCTGACTACATGAGTCTTTTTGGAGAGGATTAAAGCCGCGGCTTTGACGGCCCATTCCTTAGCTTTCCAGCCTTGGTGGAGGTACTGGCTGTAGCCATTTTTGTTGCCACAACTCTATGGCGTTTCAAGGTCCCTGACAGCAAGCAAACTGCAACATTCCGCTCACAGACCACACTCAGTCAGACTGCCTGCCTGAAACAGTCAGAGATTGCCCTGGCAGGGCAGCCCAGAAAGCTGGCATTTTAAAACAGTGCAGCTTTTTTTCCTGCTACGGCTGAAAACCGAAAAGCATTCATTTAGTTTTTCACCAACACCGTTTAAGTGTTTCGTGGCAGGACCTCTTAATGAGCTACAAAGTTTTGCAGCTAAAGCTGAGTCAGGAAGCCTCCCTTAGATGAGAGTGCTTGCTTGCTCTAGCAAACAGAGCAGACCTGAGAAATTGCTGCTACCAACAAAACATTCGTTTTTAAGCTTTCTCAAGCTTTCTGTGGATTCAGTTATCCACGTTGGCGCCATCTGTAGTAATGGGCTGCGGGCAGGCCTGCTTTTCATCCTGCCCGGCTCCCGCACAGCTAGCTTAGCCCCAGAAATAATAACACACAAATTGTATTCATTTAAGCACTGCCTGGCCCATTATCTCTAGAGAGTTAGTTACTGACTAACTCTCATATCTTGAGCAGGCAAAACACCATTGCACATAAAATAAATAAAAAAGAAATTTCTTTGAGAACCTGGTATAATTGTGATAGCTATCCCTTGACTATTGGCATACTGCATGTGAAAAACCTTGCCCTCTCTTCCTCTCTCCTCAGTTTATCCAGGGTCCACGTAAAGAGAGGACTGTAGATTTAGCCTCAAGCTCAGCAATAGGGAAAACCTCCATGAGCCTAATAAGGAGCAGATTTACTGATTCGTGAGGGCCCCACCTATCATAACCCCTCCCCATCTGCTACCAACCAACAGCCAGGGCATGCCAGGAGAACCTCCCGCCTCAGGTCTTTGCCCTGGGTCCAAAGTCTGCATCCTACCTACTACATATGGCACAGAGAGTACCTGGATGTCACATGCAAGAGCCCTAGAGACAAGGTACTGAGGACAATCCCAAATTTCTGCAGTTCCTGAGATCAAAAGGAGAGTAGGGTCAGCGTGGAGGCTTGGGGAGAGATTCTGTGGCCTGGATGCGGCATGCTGCCTAAGAGAAACAGGTGGGTAATCTGTGGAAGGCCGGAGACCGAAAACAACATTTTTGCTTTTAGTGTAAACAGTGCTGGTATCGGGTGGAGGGTAGGTAGTCTTGGGAAGGAATCCTGCAGAAGAAGAGGAAGAGAGTCTAGTATGTTTCCGAGCTGACTGTAAACTTCCTCCCACATCCAGGAGATCATGACAGCCACGCTAACACTTGAAACCATGGCCAATGGAGAGGAATATGAGTCGAGGAACTGTGTGGTGTGTGGAGACCGAGCCACGGGCTATCATTTCCATGCCCTGACTTGTGAGGGCTGCAAAGGCTTCTTCAGGTGAATGCTTTCTCCCCATCAGAAACAACCTCCACACTCCTATCGGGCCGCCTTGAAACACTGGCCCATCTCTAAGCTTCTCGGGCTGTAATACTCTCACAGCTAAGCTATACTGTCCTGTGTCTAGCACCCTCAGTCTTGCTGCCCCCAACACTGTATGGAACCGGTGACATAATAAAAAAGCAGGCCAACCGTTTATCCTGGAGGCACAGCCTATTAGTCAAGAGCATTTGTGTAGTACACATGATCTGCCCAGGACCAAGTTACTACTACACAATGAGGGTTCCTGAGTGGCCTCGATTCCCCCGTGAAAATGCTTCAGCTGCTTCTGAGGACCTTTGGACACAACTCAGATTAGCCTGCTGTTAAGCCAGTTAGCCTTTCCATTTCCACACCCTTCCAGCCTCCTCTTAGGCTCAGCTGCCTGGCTCAGCTGCCTGCCTCGCTGCCGCCTCAGATCCTGCAGTGTCTCTCTCTGTCTCGCAGACGAACGGTCAGCAAAAACACTGGTCCCGTCTGTCCATTTTCTGGAAGCTGTGAGGTCAGCAAAGCCCAGAGACGCCACTGTCCAGCCTGCAGGTTGCAGAAGTGTCTAAATGCTGGCATGAGGAAAGACAGTGAGTTGGCCCCCTACCATCCCGGGATGCCATTGAGTGTGCTTCTCTGCCGTTTGGTATACTTAACGGCTCGTGTTCCACATAGCAGGCAGAGAAAGCTTTTTGAAACTTAATTAGATTATGCCATGGTTTCCAAAATGTCCAGTCTCTCTTTTTAAAAGTAATTTTTAAAATTTTTAATGTGTATAAGTGTTTACCTGCATATATGTCTGTGCACCTTGTGTATGCCTGGTGTTCACAGAGGCTCGAAGAGCATGTTGGATCCCCTGGAACTGGAGTTACAGATGCCTATAAATTGCCATGTGAGTGCTGGGAATTGAACCCAGGTCCTCTGCAAGATCAGCCAGCGCTTTTAACCCTGAGCCATTCCTTCAGTCTCTCCCTGCTCCAATCTCCTTTAAGGTACATGACTTCATACATATCCTACTTCAGACTTTGTCTCTTAAGCCCCTTCAACACATTCCAGCCACTCTGGCTCAAGGCTGTCCTTGAGTGTAGCAAGCAGACTCTTCCCCAGGACTTCCCCATTCGCCATTCCCTCTCTCTGAAATGCCCTTCCCCTTCAAAGTCACCTGGCTTGCCTCTTCTCTTCTATCTCTGGAGAACGTGGTACCTGTCTTCTTGTAGGAAGTTCTTAATTATTCATTGCTGCCTTCCCTGTGCCAGGTAGCTATGCTGTGCTCCCAACAGATAATGCAGCAGGCCTCCCACAGCTTCAGCCTGTCAGCTAGACAGCCCAGTCACACTTGGGCATCAAGCCCGTCTGCCTCTCAAACCCCTGCACTTCCACATCGCACTCCTTCCAGCATGGAGCGGGTGGAAAGGACACTGTAGAAGCCAAATGGCACTGCCTTGAGTTCCGCCTGCCTCACTCATTTTATGGCTGTGGAAGTGTTGCTGGAGTCTACGCTTCTGAGAAATACGAAGCCTGCCCTGTCTAGAGTCGCTACAGCCAGTGAAATCTAGCCGTAGAACCTTTGAAAGTACAATGCTATGCAAATCTAAAGTGACATTTTCAATATGAAGACTCTTCAACGTTCCCAAGGAGCCAAACATCTTCTCCCCTTCCCACTTTACTCTCCACACCCCCCCTTCTTTCCCATGGTGCACTGTTTCCTGCTGCTGTGTGTCAGCGATAAATACGAGGTCGGTAGATGTGTGCAGGAACCCCCCCCACCCCCCCCCCCCCCGCGCCCCCCCCCCCCCCCCCGCCACCTAGACACACTAGTTCAGTGAAGTCCACGGAAGCCTCAGAAACCTCCCTTTCTTCCTCAGTCCTTACACGGGGAGACTGAGTAGCCTCGCCTCAAGGAGCGGAGGAAAGGTACCCTCTGCCGCTCTCAACTTCTGTCGTCTTTCTTGCCTGCCACAGTGATCCTGTCAGCAGAAGCCCTGGCATTGCGGCGAGCCAGGCAGGCACAGCGGCGGGCACAGAAAGCATCCCTGCAGCTGAGTCAGGAGCAGAAAGAGCTGGTCCAGACCCTCCTGGGGGCCCACACTCGCCATGTGGTCCCCATGTTTGGCCAGTTAGTGAAGTTCAGGGTGAGAACTTACAGGATTTGTCCTGGGTGCCCGAGGAGGTGGCCTGAGGGAGAGAGCTATTACCGTGTCCTGACGGAGGACAGATCTCCAGAACTCCAGAGTGGGCAGGTTCCTCAGCCAAAAACCCCTCTAAGGCTGGTGAGACCGAAAGGACGGCCAAGGCTGAGGCCTCTCACTCATGCTCTGAACTCTTACAGCCTCCAGCCCACCTGTTCGTCCATCAGCGGCCCTTCCCCACTCTGGTTCCCGTGATGCCTCTGCTCACACACTTTGCAGATATCAATACTTTCATGGTGCAGCAGATTATCAAATTTACCAAGGAACTGCCCCTTTTTCGGTGAGTACCATGTGGTCTTCAGGAAGTAAATGCTTCATAAACTATACCAGGTTCTGATAAAAGTCATGTATTCGCTGGCCTTTCCGAGCACTAGGCCTTCAATTTTCAGCACTAGGTATGTCAGTCGGGCCTTTTGATGGGCAGGCCTAAGTCTAAAGCGCCCTTATTTTCTGCCCCACACAGGGCCCTACCCATGGAGGACCAGATCTCCCTGCTCAAGGGAGCGGCTGTGGAGATACTGCACATCTCACTCAACCTTACTTTCTGTCTTCAAACGCAGAATTTCCTCTGTGGGCCTCTGTGCTACAGAATGGAAGATGCAGCCCATGGTAAGACGGTAGGACGGCATAGGCTGTGCGTCAGTGGTCTATAAAGTATGAAGTGCCACCAGGAGGCTCCTAAGCCTGCCGCCTCTCACAGTAGGGTTCCAGTGGGAATTTTTGGATTTGATCGTCCGCTTCCATGGGACATTAAAACGACTGAAACTCCAGGAGCCCGAGTATGTGCTCATGGCCGCCATGGCCCTCTTCTCTCCTGGTGAGAATCATCCAAAAGCCAAGGAACTAACTCTCGTCCCCTTTAATCTATCCCTGACTATCTTGCTTCCCAGCCCACAGTGTGGATCTATACCATTCTCAGTCCCTGTACCATGCAAGGCTCCCCACCTGTGTCCCTGCCACCTTGACCTTCCCACTTTCCTATCGCAGACAGGCCTGGAGTCACCCAGAGAGAAGAGATTGATCAGCTGCAAGAAGAGATGGCACTGATTTTGAACAACCACATTTTGGAACAGCAGAGACCCCAAAGTCGGTAGGTCGGAGGCTGGGGACTCACAGGCTGCACTGGGGGAAGGAAGGGATTGAGAAACATTGGGATCAGAATGAATGCATTTACCGTTGTTTCCTTCGGGAATCTAGATCTTCCCTTGGGCCACCCCTATCACACATAGTTCCAGTACCCAAACTTCACATACTGCTGTTCTTCTCACTTTTCCAAGTTTTTTTTTTTTTTATTCAGTAGAGATGCAAAGTAGTAGCTCATAGCCTGTGTGTGATAGCATTCCTGAGATTGGTGGTAGCCATCACCTCACCTCTCCAACTTCATTCTTCTTTTTGGCCCTCTCCTTTCCCTTGGGTCAATTCCTTGAATTTTTCAGTTCCATTTGAAGTCATGGTCATTCACAGTTTCATGGACAAAGCCTGTCCCTGGTTCAATAGGCCCAGGCTCTGACGTTAACGCCACTTTTGTTCTGCTCATTCCTTGATAAATCAGTTTGCTAAGAGGGGGATGTTTTATACCATAGAACAACACACCTGCCTTCTAGAACTCCATCTAGAAGGTTCCACCTTCTTCAGGTTCTATACAGTTGAAGTTTTGGCCAAGTCTAGTTCTTTACATTTGACCTCTAAGCCCTGGGCTCAGGAAAAACTAGGCACAAAGAAGGAAGACAGTGCTGACAGAGGCCCTCTTGGGGACTTCTGAACATTTTCAAAGTGTAGTGTGTGCCATCCACAGCAGGATTTTCTAATGTTCAGACTTAACTCCCTGGAGGGACAGTTCGGGGGGGACTGGGGCCTCAGGACAAGATTCCCAGCTGCCTTATTTCCCTCTTCTTTCCCTGGTAACCCTACTACTCCTTCCAAAGGTTTCTGTATGCAAAGCTGATGGGCCTGCTGGCTGAGCTCCGGAGCATAAACAACGCATACTGGTATGAAATACAGCGCATCCAGGGACTGTCCGCTATGATGCCGCTGCTTTGGGAAATCTTCAGCTGAGGCCCAGGCTTGCCTCCTTCCCTAGACCCCCTGGGATACATTGGACTGGCAAGGGGAAATTGCTGGTGCCCAAGATGGGGACCAGCTAAAAGGATCTCAGTGACGGCAATGAAACACTGAACAGTAACTGTCTCTTCGTGCGGTCATCCATGGGGCATGGACAGGGCAGGGGGCAGAGAGTGGGGAGTTGGGGTGATCATAGGACCAAAGTGGCTCTCTGGAAACATAGAAGATGGGAAAGGAGGAGGTCTCAGGGCTGGGAGGGGACGGTCCTTCAAGGAATGGGTGGGCCCATTCTTTGGTCTTTCTATGGCCAAAGATTTAGCTCTTTAACCCTCCTTTCCCAACCTTGGGAGGCTGAGGGATAGAAAATGGAAGAAATGGTAAAGGAAGTGAATCCCATGCAGATCTTTCTGCTCTGAAGAAGCTAATACCTTAATCAAATAAAAATAATAAAGAAGAAAGTAGGGTGAGGGAAGCCAGATACATCCCTTAATCCTTCTCCTTCAGTCCAGAGCCGTAGAGATACGGAAAATTATAGTGGGGCTGATGGCAGAATTGGGAACCTCAAACCACTGCCTCACGGGAAAGTGGTCGTGTGGCAGCTTCAGTTCCGAGGAGGACACGGTCCTGTCCCCCACTCTGCCCATGGGACCTAGAAGTCATCAGCAAGGTAGGCTCTGGAGAGGGACCTAGTTAGTCTCTGGCCCTAGGGCATCTGACTCAAAGGTTCCAGCTGCTGTGTGGAGATCGCCTCCAGGACCACTTCAGCCCACGGTGATGCTGAAGCCACAGTGGAATCTGTTGCGCCAGTGATTGAGGAAGGCTCCAAGGGCGAGAGTGACGGGCAGGGGGGGCATCTTCTTCTCCAACACAGCACCAACACACCAGTTACTGTCCACCAGGCCTGCCAGGGAAGAGGACACTGGTCAGGCTGTATAGCAGGACTTGGAGTAAGGAGTCAACAGAAGGTAGAGCCTCCTCCCTCCCTGCATAACCCCAAATCCCTCACCAGTTCCAAACGTCACAATAACCCTCACCTCTAAACACCATATTGGCCTGGGGCAGAGTCAGGTGGTAACCAAAGGAGAAGGTTGTATCTTGTAGCCTTGTATTTGCCTCAAACTCCACTCCAACCTGAACCTGAGAAGAAGCAGGGACAAAAATGAGAGGGGGAACTGTCACCATGAATACCAGAAGAGTCCCGACAGGGTAGCAGCAAGCTGGGAACATGTGTGGAAATGTATACCAGAGTGAGGGTAGGAAGAATAATAGGCCCGAAGCTTGGGGGCACCTGAGGGGCAGAGTTTCTCACTGACTCACTAGGATAGCGGATCAGGTCAGTAATCTTACCTGTTCATTTGCCCTGTGGTAATAACTTGCATGGGCCCCACCTGACCCAACATTCAACGTAGCTACCCAGTGTACAGCTGGTGGGAAAAGTACAGAGGGAAAAGACAGTTATTGTAGTAGACACGGGCAAGGAACCCCAAAAATCCGAGAATCGCTCCCCCTCACCACTGTCTCACTTGGCTCCGTACCTGAGTACTTCCCTGCCAGAGTCAAGATGGCCCCCTCTTCGCCTGGTCGCCGGTGATAAACTAGCTCTCCTCCTAGCACCAGCCGTTGGGTGACGCTCTGCAGGAAGTGAGCGACCATGATCACTGTGGGCGAGTAAGGAGTCAAGAGTCAGGTTTGCGCCCCTACCATCCAGTCATCCTGACTCTGGCCCGCCCTGAAAGTTCCTTTTCTAATCCCCAAATTACACTGAAGATGAAACGGCATGACTGACATTGTTTGCAAATGGACAGGCAAGAAAGAACTCCGTCCTAGTTCCCCACCTGATTCCCCAATCAGGTCAGGGTTTCCCAGGGTCAGAGTGGCTGTGTAGTCATCTCCCCGATACTCGCCATCAAACTGCCACGTCAGGAACTTGGCCTGTTGTGTCTGGGGAGCAGAGTAAGAAGTAAAATACCCTTCCCTCTTTTTATGTTCAATATTGCCTTTGCTCCTCCCGCGAGACCCCCGAGGCAGGATACCCATGGAAGAGAGAGAGAGGTGCCTCAGCGGATGGAGGCAGGAACTGTGGGTCACCTGGAAGACAGCCTTAGCTCGCAGCCGCTCTGCCAACAGAAGCAAGACCTGGGCGTTGAGACTGCCACTGCTGTCCATATCCCCCACTACGGTGGGGAACACCTGTTAAGGAGTGTAGACAGTAAGGCTGAGATGGGTAGGTAGTTTTTATTGACCTAAACAGGAACACTAAGGGATTTCCGTAACAACACACAGTGCCCCCTGGTGGGCGTCAACGATAAACGCGGGCATCTTTGCACAGGCGTCTCTCTCTACCCTGTCCCATTCAGAAGAGCCGCAGAGAATAAAGTTGCTGAATGATCTTCCTGACAGCACATACATTTCCTCCTCAAGACCTACGCCCACGTGAGGGTCTAGGGAGTTGACGCATTTGTGGTGGAGCCCTCACCTCAGTGGGGCTAAGCTGCCAGTCCCCTGCGTAGGCGGCATGGAGGTGATACCCTGGCAAGCCCAGGGCACTCATGTGCACAGTATGAGCCACCTGAGGAAAGAGGAGACAATGGAGAACACAACATTCTTCTTTAATCCCTTATCCCACCCTTGATCTTTTTCCATTCGGCGGGTGTTTCTAAAAACCTCAACTGTTCCGACATCTGAAGAGGGTCACTGGATTTTAAGCAACAAGTCCCACAGGCAAAGAAAGGAAAAGGGACCCCACATCGTCCCTCACTTGTCACACCTAGCCTGGCTAAGACTGGAGTAAGGTGTGAAGAAGAGGACCCAGGGACGGTCAGGGAGGTGACGTGAGGAGGGGCCGGAGAAGTGGGAGCACCTGGAAATGGCTGCTCAGAACCTTGTTGATAACCAGCTTCACGCCCTCCATCTGTGCTGGAAATACATCTGAAAGAAGTGAGGGGGAGGGAAGGAATAAGTATAGATGAGGACCCCTAGCCAAGGAGATAGACCTCTCTTTCAGTCCCACATGAAGCACTGAAGGAAATGACCTCCTTTCAAATCCTGCAACAAAAAAAATGCTCTGCTTTGGACATCCGATCCCTCTTGACTGCTGGATGCTCCCTCCAGCTGTAATCTCTCTGTTCACATCACGGGGCATCAGCATTCAAGACCCTCCCCTCCTCTGCCCCTTCTACCTAAGACACCCAAACATCCACCACGTCCTCACCTTTGCACAACCTGTGCAGCTCATCGAAGCTCCCGGGATTGGGCAGCGGTTCCTCTCGACGGGGGGTCCGGCGGGGTAAAGTCCCCATCGGTGCCAGGCCCAGGGTGTTCCCCATTTTAGTCCAGAGGACAGGGAGGGGTCGGAGTTAACCAGGGGAAACAATCTATTGCTCCCTCTATCCCCCACGGGCTCCACCCCCCATCATCAGGCTCCCCAGTTTCAGAAACTTCCATAGGGTTCAATGCTAGACCTGCAACAAGAAACAGTAGGGGAAGAGAGCAGCGATGGAAAAATTGAATCCCAGGCACACTCCCGCCCCATCGTTGATCCTTCACCCCCCACCTGTCACCCCTGTCCGCTCTCCCATTATCTATTCTTAACCACCACCACAGGCTTCAGCTAGCTCCCTAGTTTCTCTATTCTTCATTCCCACGTCCCAAGGCTCTGCCCACAATGGAACCCTAACCCTTACCATCTCAAAGCCTCCTGCTGCCTCTTTCCCCTAGGCACAGCCCGGTCATCTTGATGGGGGCAGCCATCTTAAGTAATGGCAGAACTGTAGCTTCAACCTGCATTCTAAGCATGGCCATAAGCGCCATCTTGGAAATGGGCAAAGGAAGCTCTCAAAGACCCAACCCACCCAATGATGAAAAAAGGTGCTTAATTTCCAGTGCCCAATGGGAGAGGAGGAAACAGAAGAGTGGCGGCCCTGACGGCCCCAGAGCTTCAGTCCGCAGCTGCAGGGGCGAGTAGGAGTTTGTGGGTGGTACTTTAGACTTCATTCGAAGGCCACGTAACTAAGACCGCGCAGCCTCTTCAAGGTCGAGAAAAATTTCGTGCGTTCAAGACACTAGAGGGAGCATTTTGTCCAGCAGTCGGAGCTGAGAAAAGTGAAACTACAGTTTGAGTTTGGAGACGTGTTTTGTGAAGAGACTCAGGGAGGGATTGTGAAGACAGCAGCTCGCATTACTCTCTACCTACCTAAAATCCTCTAGGGGATCCCCACAGCCCTCCCCCGCTCACCTCCAGAGGGCTGCTGCTCACAAACACAGCTCTCCCCTGGAAAATAGAACCCTATCACCACTACCGACCCCCTCTGGAATTCTACAAGCCAGGCCTTCTTGTTAGAATAGGAAAGGCTGTGAGTTGGAGGGAGGGGAGTGGGTTGTGGGCAGAATTTCTGAAGCTAGCCTCTCTAGTTACTCCTTCCTTGCAGACAAGACTAATAAAATCCAGGAATCCGGCTACAGCCGGTCCTTACAGTCTTCCCCCAGGGCCAGGGGCAAGCGGTAGTGTGACAATAGAGCTACTTCACAAGAGGACAGCTGGAAATGGGAAAGATTTCATTGTTGGCACCCTGCCTCTCAGTATTGTTCCAGTGCACACAGGGTAAATTTGGGGGGCCAAAGGGTGAAAGATAGCAATGTTTTCAATATCTGCTTAACTGATTCCACTGGAGATCTCTGGGCTAGAGAATGTGCCTTGCTTGGTCCAAGGGCCAGGACCTAATTGATAAGGTGATCAAATAACCAGGCACCTTCGACCTTTGTCGGTACTGAAACCTCTTAACTGTTGCAGCTGGAAGCAGGAAGGAGGGCAGAGGCTATTTTTCCGAATTTGTTTTTTTGGGGGGGTAGGGTATATATTCACTGATGGGAACCCAGGAGTGTTAGGTCCACATCCTCATTACACATTAACTCAAAAAGGAACAGAGTCAGCGGTATCTATTCTGACTTGTATTCCCCTAAGCCCCATTCTCTTCCACTTCCTATTTCAATTCCTTTTTCCTTTTCTTCTCTCTCTCTCTCTCTCTCTCTCTCACACACACACACACACACTCTCTCTCTCTCTCTCTCTCTCTCTCTCTCTCTCTCTTTCTTTCTTTTTTAAGACAGGGTCTCTCTATGTAGCCCTAAAACTCACTATATAGATCAGGCTGGCCTCAAATTCACAGAGATCAGTCTGCCTCTACCTCCCAATACTGGGATGAAAGGCACATGCCATCACGCCTGGCTTCTTTCTCCTTTCTTTTGTTCCCAAACACTTCTTTGCCAAGTTACTATGAAAGTATGAAACCTATAGGGTTGGGGGAATGAAGTCTATCCACAGTGAGGTAAAGATAACAAGGGCTACAGGCTTCATGTCAGAACTTCCCAGAGAAATAGCTTAGAATCCCGATTCCCTGCTATGTATCAATCCCGTTAACTTCAGCCCTCGATCCCAAAAGAATAAAACAAAAGCAGATCTTGTCTTCCCCTGGGTTTATACCCCCGCCTCTCAATCTAACATGAAGAGTCCCTTTTGCTTGTTCTTCCGTCCATCTCTGCAGCTTGTTTACTCCAGCATGATCTCTGCCCCTCTGGACTTGCCATGCTCGGCATCACCTGACAGGGGTGGGGAAGGAGAAGCCTATATAGCCCTGTCTCCATCCAGGCCGGGGGTAGATGCCAAGGACAGCGACGCTACAGGTATGGCGAGGGAGCAAGGTTGTGGGCAACACGCAAAGAGGATGGGGCTTTGACTGTGGACTGGGAATTAAGTTAGTGTGGGTATTCAGGTGGCGGGGGGATCTCCAGAAGGGGCTGCAGCCCATTTGACTTCATTGTCCTTTCTCACCAGCAGCACTGTTCCAAGGCTACGTTCCCACTGCCGCCATCATGAAGCTGCTTGCAATAGTTGTACTGCTCGTCACTGTCTGTAGCCTGGAAGGTGAGTTTGTAATATGGAGAAAGGAAACCAAAGGAAAGAAGGTGCTGGGGCTCTTGGCTACCCAACTCTCTGTGCTTCTACAGATGAGTGTGCCAACAGAACCTAAGAAGAAGATCGTTCCCTTTCGAAAGTCTAAAAAACAAAACAAAACCCCCAAAAAACAAGAAAACAAAAAACAAAACCTCAAATACCTAGCAGGACACCAGTTTGGGGAAGCGGCTGAAAGCTGGGGTGGACCTTGTGGGGTGTGATGGGAGACTGAGATTCCCTGCTGGGAATCCAAATGAAAAGATTGTGCATATGTGTTTGTGTAGGGGCTTTGGTTCGGAGACAGGCAGAGGAGCCGGGTCTGCAGAGCCTGTTCAGTCAGTATTTTCAGACCATGACTGACTATGGCAAGGACTTGATGGAGAAGGCCAAGAGCACGGAGATCCAGACCCAAGCCAGGTAAGTCTATAGGAGAGGACTCAAGGGGCTCCAGGGGTGCAGAGAATGGGAAGATAGGCGTTCTCCTGGGAATCTTAACTCAGAGGCTGGGGTTCCTGGAGATTAGGCTTAAAAATCGGGAAGAAAAATTCCTCCCTCACCTCAGTAGATCCATCCAGTGTATTCCTCAGGTGGGGGCAGCAGGAAGTGGACCTTGGACTCTAGTCGTTAGTGTCTGATGCCCTGCTGGCTGCATGGAAGGTCTAACCTCTTCCAGACTTTACAGGGTACTTCAGGGTGCACCACTTAGAAACTTGGGTTGGGTCAGTCAGCTCTGACCTTCACCACCAACACAGACCCTGTCAGCGATCGGGGCCCTTCACATCAACCTCTGGGCTTCCCCACCCTAGGGCTTACTTTGAAAAGACCCAAGAGCAGCTGACACCCCTGGTCAAGAAAGCCAGAGAAGATTTTATGAACTTCTTCAGCAGCTTTATGAACTTTGAGAAACCAGCTTCTGATGCTAAGTGAAGTGTGGGGCACCATTCTTACCCCAGCTCCCCACTGGCCTGCCCTGGAGCCCCCAATTCTACCTTCTGCCTGTGTTGTACAATAAATGCGGAAGGAAGCAAACTCTGCCTCGTGTCTTTGGATGATTGGGAAGAAGTAGCAGAGTGGGGGAGAAGTAGGAGGAAGGAAAAAGATTAATCTGTTTCTAAAAGGGGAAAGGGACGAGAGTTTTGGTGTGACCTGTGAAGAAATAAGTGACGGGCACGATAGAGTAGATGCCTGTGATTTGTCTCCAGACTCAAGGAGTCTCCCGCGTGAGTGGCTCAGTAGCATCACTGAAGGATATGGACCTACGAAAGGAATGAAGGACTCACAGCCTGGAGTCATAAGAAACAAGGGCAACCCTCAGAATTTCTTCTTAACTTTCTATGAATAATAGATCGTGAGGTGGTTGTTGTTTTGTTTTCTAAAAAGAGCCCAGAGGTGTGACTGAAGACCCCATCTTTCCCTGTGAACCTGGAGAACATTGTGTTTCCACCATCCCCCAGTAAAATATTAGGCTAACCCTTTTCTCCCAAAGCACTCTAGCTTCTTCCCTCGAAACCGCTCATTTAGCCAGGTGTGGTGGCACACACCTGCCTTTAATCCCAGCACTCAGGAATTCCAGGACAGCCAGAGCTACAAAATAGAGAGGCTCTGTCTCAAGACAAAGCAAGCCAGTAAACAAACTGCAAAAGGAAAAAGAAAACAAAACAAAAAGGCTAAGGATATAGTTTAATGGTAGAGTCCTTACCTAGCATGTGTGAAGCCCTAGGTTCAATCCCTAGCATTTGAATCAATGTAAAACAACAACAAAAACAGCAAAACAAATTTAAAAAAACACCCTTTTTGTTTTATGTAGAACAGTGTATATATGTACAAGAAAGTCAGTTCCTACCTTCAAGGTGACCTTAGACAAGTTAATATTTTAAAGAACCTGAATTTCTTATACAGGTTAGTGACAGATAAAATGATACAATGGGAAAATACTTTGAAAATATCAATCACTACGCAGTGCTGTGCTGACTGGCAAAGGAGATTGCTAGGCTGGACACTCTAGCCTTTCTGGAAGAAGGCAGGCAAGTCAGAGACAGAGCTCACCACACCCTCTAAGGCTTAAATATCTCCATGAAGAGCTTCCTGGTGACCAAGAAGAGAACAGGTACTGGCAGGGGATTCCCTGACTACCCACCTTGTGGGAAATGACCTCCCATTTGGACTCAACTTGTTCCCCTTGACCTTTCCTACCTCCAACCTATCAGGTTCTCTCCAAGACTCTTCCTGCTCCTAAATCCCGTGAAAATCCATTGTCCTTATAAATCTTCCACTAGGAGGGTCACATGATCCTTGCCATCACATTCCTTCTGCATGCTTAGCCCTTCAGCGATGCTAACTCAAACATGCACAAGCTGGATTGGTATTATCTAGATTGGTGACTCTTTTAGGTTAGACATACAGGCTTCTCTACAAACCAATCAGGATTCATTTTCAGACACAAAAAGCCACACTGAGTACAGAAGTAATTTCTTAGGTTCCAGGGTCTCTAAATACATGTATACAACCAACACGGGGTGGGAGTGTGAGAAGGCTCCCTGCACTAGGCTCCATTTCAGAGCACCAAGAGAACAAGGGTCTTACCACTCGTCCAGATACAGTCAGCACTCATACCTTAAAAGAGCAAGGCAGCGGGCTGTGGTAGTGCACGCCTTTAATCCCAGCACTTGGGAGGCAGAGTTCGAGGCTAGCCTGGCCTGCAGCATGAGCTCCAGGACTACACAGAGAAACCCGGTTTTGAAAATCAGACAAGCAAACAAAAGAGCAAAGTAGCCCTAGAGTTCCGTGTTCTCAGCAGCTGAGTTAGCCTCACTCTAAACTGTATCTTCAGTACCCAGTCTAATGCTTGGTACAAGCTGAACCACCGCTATGTGACAAATGATGAAATGAGCAGAGTCACATCTGTACCGGCTTTATTGGAAGGCAATCCCTTTCCATTGTTTAGCAAGAGCTGGGGATCAGGGGAGAAAAAAGAAACGAAGCAACGGAATATGTAAGGGAACAACCATCTGTGAGTAAGTCTTTAACGGAAATGAGCGACTGCTGGCGGACATTAACTTAGAGGCTGGCCTCATTATGGGAGTAAGGTCAGCTAGCATCAAAAGCACAGAGATAGCATCGTGATGTCAGCCGTGAGGGCTAAGAGAGAACCAGAAGCAGAAAAAGAATGCAGCCAAGGACACATGCTCTAAAGCTACTGGGGTGGTTTCTCATGCTTCAGAGTCTCGTATGTCTCTTGGTTCCGGGTACTCAGGCCCTGCAGGAGAGTCAAAGGCTGATCAGGGGTTTGAGCTCATCACAGGGCCCCCATTTACCTCACACCCCATTCCTATCGAGGTCACTCTAGACCCCAGCCTCTTTTCTCTGACCCCTAAGGTAGGGAAAAGAGGTTCACTCACCGTGTAAACAGCATCTTTCTGTAGAGATGAAAGGAGCAAGCATTAAAGACCTATACCATCTTCGGGCCCTGCCTCCCATCGTCTTTCCCACCCAGGGACTATCTGGGTCCAGGTTAGCGTTAGCTGCCTTAAGCTGGGAGCACTCACATACTTGCTCCTTTACCCGTATGGCTACAAACACCCTTCAGTACAACACACAACTCTCCGGCGTTGTCACCTCTGCTTCATTCTTTCCTGTCCAGATATTTTAACTGCAGTTCAACTAGATGGCAGCGTGCTACTTATCCTGAGGTGAGGGGCAGGGTGCAGATCAGTCTCCAAAACACATGCCTTCCCAGAGGTCTCAGAGCTAAGGCTAATAACCCAGGAAGGCTGAGAGCCTGAAAAAACAAGCATTGACGCGCAGGTGTGGGACTCCATACCTCATAGCTGGCTATCGCTGCCTTTCTGACCTGGATCTGGAGTGGGGGGAGAGGCAATCAGTAAGGGAAAAGTTGGAGGCCCATCTCCTTCCCCTCTAAACCGTGGCGAACCCCTTCGGTTTCCCTTCTTGAGACCTCCCACTCCTGGGTCCGGTTCTTCAACCGTCCCGCCCCGCCTTACCTTGAGTCGACAGTAGAGTAGGGTAAGGACAATACCATACAAAAACAGGATGGCGTCCAGGATATAGCAGAGCTGGGGCTCTCCTAGGGCAGCTGAGGGGGATACAGGATGCCCATGGGACCCGGTGCGCAGGGAAAGGGAAGGTTGTTGCTCAGAGGAAGGGGGAGGGGTCAGAGAGGTAGGACAGGGTCTCGGGTCTTGTTGGGGGGGGGGGTCCTTCTAAGGGAAGAAACTAACCCCATCTTTAGACTATTGTTCCTCTTACCTGCCCCTCTTCCCCCTCACACTGGCAGGAGTTGGATAGGAAGCATAAAGGGTTCGGTTGTGGTAGGACTTAGGTTTACTGAGGGTTATAGACTTCCCTCTCAGCCCCGACCTCTCTTTTCAGTACTGTGGTTCCTCAGGCATCATTGAGCACTTCTTCTACCTCAAGGACCCATCAGAGTTTACTGGGCTGAGACAAAAACCTCAGCCCAGTGGGGGAGGGAGAGAGAAATTGTGGCAAAATTTCAACAAAGAAACCACAAGAGTGTGTCTCTGCTAAGTCCTGTGACCTGTGGCTGAGGGCTGGACAGGAAGGATGTGAGCTGGGGAAGGGAGGGAAGGCAATTACTCTATTATTGGTCATCTCAGCCTCACTGCCTTTTGCCACCCAAGGCACTTAACTATACCCAAACAAACCAACAAACAAAAACAAAAACAAAGTGACTACTGTTTGAGGCCTGATAGACACCATTGACTCTCCACGTAAAGCTGGGTGGTGACCACAGCTCAAAGGAATGACCACAAACTAAATCTAAAATATAGATTCTTCCTCTTACTACTCTGCCCCGTTAATCATGGTAGGCCTCTAAGAGGGGAAGTTTGTGCAACCAAAAAAAAAAAAAAAAAAGAAAGAAAGAAAAAAACCAAATCACACAGGAGCTGAGAGTGGCGAGCCATGCCTATAATCCCAGCACTTGGGAGGCTGAGGCTAAAAACATTGGGTGAGTTGTTTGAGACCAGCCTGAGCTATATAATTAATGAGTTCCAGACCAGCCTAGAATGTACGGTGAGATCCTGAAGGGGGGGGGGGAGGGCGGTGGTGGCACATGATGTCTGGGAGACAGAAACAGGTGAGACTCTGAGTTCGAGGCCAGCTTGGTGTACACAGTGAGTTCCAGGACAGCCAGGGCTACACAGAGAAACCCTGCCTTGAAACACGAACAAACAAAATAGGAACTCACAACAAACAACAAACGGCAACCCCCCACTACAAACAACCAAAAAACCAAAAAAAAACCTAAGAAACAAAACTCCCCAAACAATAAAGTGTACAGGAACTCAACATGATAGCCCCACATCAGGAGGCTGAGGCAGGAAGAGTGTGAATGATGCCAGCCTGGGCATCCTGCCTCAAATGATCACACGGGATCTGGGCTCGAGATTGCTCCCAGCCTTTTCAGGACCACAGGGGTGAATGTGAGCCTGCTCGGACTGGGACTTTATACCACCCATCCTCTCACCAGCTGACAAAACGGGGTGACCCCTGTCCATTCCACACAAGTCACTTCTACTTTTGATTCTACGACACTCCTACACGGTATTACATAAATCTCAAAACTACCTTGTGAAACAAACGTCAGCACCACCCTTTCACGGAGGATAAAATGCAGGTACTCAGAAAAGCTTAGAAACACCCAGGGCCAGAGTCGGGCAACAGGATTGGAACTCAAACCCAGTTTTTTCTGCTTCCAAAGCCCGTCCTTCCTGGCCATTCTTGTTTCCCTACAGTTTAAGCACTACCTCTGTAAAAGTCAGCCCTCAACCAGCTTTTCAAACTCCTTACTGGGCATGGTAGTACAGGCCTATAAACCCGGCACTCCTGGTGGAGGCAGGATTAAGAAATCAGGGTTAGCCTTAGCTAAACAGAGAGTTTTTAGGTCTGTCTTGGCTACATAATACCCTGTCCCCACACACCAAGACAAACACCTCACACTGATAGAAAGCAAAATAAGTCAAAGCTGAGGGAAGTCCTTTGGCTGCCTAGAAGCTCAGAGTCACTGGATCTTGGGCTTTTGCTTTTACTTCCCAACCGATGATCGAGAACACGGAACTCGACCCTCTGCTGCCTACTGATGTCAGCTGACAGAATGGAATGGTCCACGCCATCCCCAGAAACAAAATGCAGGTCTATTTTGACTCCCCTGCCTCACTCCCAAGCTCACAGACAGGCCCTGGCCTATCTAGAGGGCGTTGTATATAGAGATCAGCTCCCAACAGAGACCAGAGCATCCCGTGGTACTGCTCACCAGGAGACGGGACTGTCCTAGAGAAGCTCTTCATGCTGCCCGGCCCACCCCGACAGACTAACCCTTCATATTGTCCTGACGTCAGTACGGGAGGTAAGAAAGGAACAATAAAGATGGAATTGATTAGTGTCCAGGTGGGGACCCAACAGGGCTAACTTCAGAATCGGCCACAGCCCTGTGTCCACCCGCCCAGCACCAGCCTTCTCCCTGCCATCCACTCACGCCCTAGCTTCCCACTCAAGCACAGCTAAAACATGCCAAACCCTTTCACCTACCTGCTTGTTCGACCAAAAGGAGCAAGAGTAAGACCACGGCTGGAATCATCTTGGGCAGGGGCTTCGGGGCTGGGAACTGGCGATCAGACACTCTGACAGAACTGCGCAGCTGTGCCCACGAACAGCTCCCTGACCACAGTTCCCCCCTTCCTGCCACGCCTTCCCCCCACACTTTGGCCCCTTCCCCTTCCTGCACTAGAGACCAGGCGGCTCCCGGAAGGGCCAACTAGGGGAGCTGGAAGATCTGCCCTCTACGCCTCAGCCCTTTCAGGGACCAACCTCCTAACCCACAGAATGAGCAGACTTTCATGTTTGGGAAAGGCTGTCTATATCCGCCATGTTTAACAACCCCCTCATCCACCATTCAGACATGGGTCATATATATGTGGCAAACTGCCCCTCCTGGAGACTCCCTCAGATCCCATTACAGCCCTTACCTTTCTATTTGGAACTTTATATACCCAGTCTTCACTGGAGTTTACACCCTATAGATGCTAAGAGGGTCTGGGCAGGAGGAACTGAGAGGAAAGGGGAAATGGGGAATGGAGAAGTGGATAGGGCAAGCAAGAGTCAGAGAGGGGGTGGAGATTCAGCTGGGAAAATCAGACAGAAATACAAAGTGAAAGACAGTAAGACACCAAGAAAGACTCACTAGAAGCTTGGCATAGGGGGCCGCAAGGCGGCTAATTTAATATAATTTCTCTTTTTCTAGTACATGCACAGAAAGCCTGTACAGCTAAGTCGGCATGTACATGTATGTTTGTTTATACACACAGAGACACACAGCTTCGTTTCCTATGAGGGACAGGCCTTGCAGGGGAAGCTGCCAGGCGTGGGAACACAAAGGCTGTGCCTCTGTTCATCGGTCTATTTCTCCAAACACAATATCCTGGGTACCTAGAAGGTGAGAGGATAAAGTGTTACTGCCAGAGATCCAGAGCACAAGACTGTGTCCGAGACACTCTGGCCTAGAGTTCAGGCTACAGTCTATAGTGAACAGGGAGTGTTTGGTTTTGTTACCAAACAGAATCCCAAACCCCGTGCCTTAGGCAACCTTACGTATAACAGGTCTCATACCTATGATGGCTACGACATCTGCCAACATGTGTCCCTTAGACATCTTGTCCAAACCAGCCTGTGGAGACGGGGATAACAACATGTTAATATAAGTTTGCAGAGAAGAGCTCTTTAAAATTCCATCCAAGGCAGGGTGTGATAGTATATAAAGTTAATCTCAGCACATGGGAAGATGTTTATGAGTCTGAAGCCAGCCTAGTCTACATAGAAAATTCTAGGCCAGTCAGAGCTACATACTGAGATCTCACCTCAAAAACAAAACAAAACAAAACACCACGACAAAAAACCCCAAGCCAAAGTCCTCATCTAAGTCAGGCATAGGAGCTCACGTCTGTAATTCTAGAACTTGAAAGTCTTAAGGCAGAAGGGTAACTGTGAATCCAAGGATAGACCACACACATAGTGAGCTCCAAGCTTATCTGGGTTATAAAGCAAACTTCTGTCTTAAACAAACAAATGGAAAAAACAAATACTCATCCAAGAGTTGGATGTGGAGGTGTGTACCTGTAATCCTCGTACCTGGGAGGCTAAAGCAGGAGACAGTGAGCTCGAGGGCAGCCTTAGCTACACAGGGAGTTCTACACAAACCAGGGTTGTATAGCAAAGTCCTATCTCAAAAAGCAAGGTGCTGGAGACATGACTCAGCCGCTAAGAGCATGTACTGTTCTTGCGGAGGACCCGAAATTGGTTCCCGAAACCAATTAATAGGTAGTTCACAACTGCTTGTAACTCCAGCTCCAGGGGATCCGAGTCTCTCTTTTGGCCTCTGAAGGCACCTGCACTCATGTACCATACACACATACACATACAAATAAGCTAAAAAGAATTTTATTTTGTTTTGCTTTTCTAGATAGGGTTTCTCTGTGTAACAGTCCTGGCTGTCCTGAAACTCGCTTTGTAGACTAAGCTGCCATCAAAGTCACTGAGATCCGCATGCCACTGCCTCCCAAGTGCTCGGCTTAAAAGTATGCGCCACCATCACCTGGCTAAATAAAATTTTTTAAGCAGCTGAAAATAAACAAAAATAATTACTGATGTATTACAATTAGAACCATTGAGATTGTCTTACCAGGTGGGCAAAACCAGGGGCCTTGATCTTGCAGCGATAAGGTCGGCTGCTGCCATCAGATACCAGGTATACCCCAAACTCTCCCTGTTCAAGGAAGAAAGTTGGATGCCCCATTAGTAGGAAAAGTGTTCTCTCTTCTACCAAAGCCTCTCTGGTTCACGTTTGAACCTTCTCTGTCACTAGTAAGGGTGTTTGTTCACTGTCTACCTCCAGCCACCAACTTTTCTTTCCCCTTCTCTCCTCACCTTGGGCGCTTCAATGGCCGTATATGTGGCTCCGGGAGGAACTTGGTAGCCCTCAGTATACAGCTTAAAGTGATGAATTAGTGACTCCATGGAAGTCTGAGGGGAGAAAAAGGAAGCATCAAAAATACAAATCCAGCCAGGTGGATCTTTAGTCCCAGCACTCAGAAGGCAGAGGCAGAATATCTCTGTGAGTTCAAGGCCAGCCTGGTCTACAGAGTGAGTTCCAGGACAGCCAGGGCTGTTACACAGAGAAATCCTGCCTTGAAAAAAACCGATAAAAGAAAAAGGAAGAAGTCTGATCCAAGCTCTTCCCTTGGGCTTTCCCCCAGTAGAGAAAGCACTCTCTGCCCTTTGGGAGACTAACAACCTACATGTAAATCAGGAAGCAGTGAAGACAGGATAAAACTTGAGTGTGGTTAGACTGAAAGGCAGAATTTAATCCAAGGACTTTTCTCTTTCCCATGCCTGATCTCTCTTCCCTGTCCCTGCAGCCCACCTTCATCTCTGCTCGCTTAGGTGGGGACACTTTGGCGTCATCGACCTTGATCTCCCCCGCAGGCATCTTGTTCAGGCACTGTAAGATGATGCGCAGGGACTGGCGCATCTCCTCCACACGGCACAGGTACCTGGTGTGGGGGAGACAGACTCAAAACAGAGGAGGAGGCAGAGGAGTAGGCAGGGGTCTGGCGGATGCCCTGTGTGAGATCTGAAATGTTCGGTAAATGTTCCTGCTTCTGCAGAAACAGTGTCTCTGTGCGCCTTGGCTGCCCATATAAACCCTGCAGTATTTTGATTCTACCACTGAGTCCTTCTCCAATCCCTCCCCACAAGAATGTGGCCTATAGTTTTTCCCTCCTTACCCCTTACCCTCTTAAACACAGTTTTGACTACAGAGTAAAGGAGTCAAATGGAAAGATAAACAAAGAGAACAATAGAAGCAAATCTTACTCAGGGTCAGTAAATAGGAACGGATTTTGAAGCTTAGAATCAAGTGGGCAGATAGCTGGGTCAGGAAGATCCCAATGCTAATCACGAGCAGACTAATCCCTAACTCATGCTTCAGCTTTCTCAGCTACAAAAGCATCCAAACTAGTTCTATCTAAGGCAGGATGGTGGGATAAGAGTAAAAAATAAATAGTGCTATTATTTGGCGTTTGTGTTGGGGGAGCATACTAGGGGCTATGAACGCTAAGCACAACTCTACCGAGTTTACACATTACACAGGTTCCTACAGACACCAGCAAGGACAACGAGCTGAGCAGTGATTTGGGTCTTACCTATCATAGCAGTCCCCTCGAGAACCAATAGGAACATCAAACTCGACCTGGTCATAAACATCATAGGGCTGGGTCTTCCGCAAGTCCCACTGGATGCCTGAGCCTCGGAGCATCACTCCACTGTAGGGTGTAATGAGCATAAGGACCACCCTCCACAAAAACAGAAAAGGACACGCGTGCTTCCTATCTGCCTCTCCCTCCCCACCACTTTGGTTATGGGACACAAACTCCCGGCATGGAGAGGAGAGTAGCAAGCATGCATGCAACCAAGACACTGGGCTGTAGTCCTCTACAGACTTTCCCACCCCTAAGGAAAGAAGCTGTATTCTCCTACCTGAATCCATAGTTAAGTGCATCTTCTGCTGATATAACCCCAATATCGATCGTCCTATTTCGCCAGATCCTATTGTTGGTCAGCATCTATGGGTGGAGAAATCCAGTGTGCTAATATTCTACATGACAATCTTCAAAAGTCTCTATACTTACATAACACTGGGTACTAAAACTCCACAAGACCTCTTAGGGGACCAAGATATTTTTTTCCCGTTGATTTATATCTTACCTCCTCCACCTCATCAATCCGAAGAGAGAAGTTCTTAGAAAACTCGTAAATGTCATCCATAAGCCCAAGAGGTAGGTCCTAGAAACCAAGTGACAATTCTTGTTATAGCACCCTTTCCCAAGGAGACAGTTCCGTTCCATGAGCCCACACTGCCCTCCAGTGGACAAAGAGGGAAGAGGCATGTGGAGGCTGAACCACTCACCTGGTGCACTCCTCCTGGTCGGATATAAGCAGCGTGCATCCGGGCTCCAGACACCCGCTCATAAAACTCAAACATCTAGACAGAACGCACTGGGAATTAGAAAAAAAGTCCAGCAACCCAAGTTCAGCAACACGGTAGCCCACTGCCCTACCTCTGACTTCTTGTGGCTAGCCAAACACTTCCTACAAATACAATCCAACAAAATATGCTTCTCCCCCGTTTTCATCTGTCTCCTCCTTTCATCTTCTCCCTCCTGCCCTATTCCTATCCACGCCTCTATCTCATACCTTCTCTCTTTCTTCAAACATCCAAAAGAAAGGAGTCATGGCACCAATGTCCAGGGCATGTGTAGTCACAGCCATGATATGGTTCAAAATCCGTGTGATCTCTCCAAACAGCACTGTGAGACAGAAAGACAAAAAGTGATGGACAGGGCTGGAAGGATGGCTCAGCGGGTAAAGACTTGCTAACAAGTCTGGAGGCCACATTGTAGAAGCAGGGAACTGACTCCCAAAAGTTGTCCTCTGACCTCCCCACACATGCTACTTCACATGCATCCATATACACAATAAACATACAAATCAAATATTTATATTGTGTGTGTGTTGTGGGTTTTTTGTTTGTTTGTTTAAGAAAGAAGCACAGAGGAGCCAAAGACTCATCTTGCCAATCAGTGTGGGTGGAATCTGGAGCCTAACTATCAGAGTTGAGTTCAATGCACTAGATGTTCTGTGGGATTCCAGCAGAAACAAGGAGCAGAACATACCTCGGATCCACTGTGCCCGAGGAGGGGGCTGGATGTTTAGTAACTTCTCCACAGCTAGAGAATAAGCCTGTTCGTTGCACATCATAGACACATAGTCCAACCGGTCAAAGTATGGAAGGGCCTGTCGGAAGGGAGGAAGAAAGATGACATCTACCAGGCCCAGAACTGCGCTGTGTCAGGCATCAGAAGTCACTGCTCACCTGCAGAGTCTCAGGAGTCCCAGCGAAACAGAACACAGCTCCCATACAGCTTATCTAGAACTAGCACTCAATGTTTAAACCTGGCTCTCTAAAGGATGAGCAAACCTTGATTTACCATGTTTGATAATTTCCATGGTGAAAATAATCCCACT